ATGTTCTGCTTGGCGATTGAATAAAATGTGAAATGTGATTTTATGAAAAAAAGGAAAGTGGAAGAGGAGGATGGAAGAGGGGAAATGGAAGAAGGAGGTTGCAGGATGGTTGAGTTTCAAGTTCTCAGATCCCTACAGCGGTTGTCTGCGTAGTCTTCGTAATTTGTTACTTGTTCTTCGATGACCGCGCTGATGTTTCTTTCTCACGTTCTGAAGTCTCGTATGTATCAAAAACTGTAAATCCTTCTAAATTCCGGAAAATGTCGGTTTCTGCTGAACTGAAAGTGAGTAATAATTAGCAAGAACATTAACAGAAAGTTGGGAAATTAGAAAAACTTAAAAGCTGAAAATGCTACAAGCAACGATTTCTCTGTAACATCAGAAAACAAGTGAATTATTGCAGTTTCATTATTATTACTGTTATTATTGTTATTCTTATTATTATTGTTATTATTATCATTGTTGTTATCATTATTTTTATAATTATTATTTCTATTGCTACTTATTTTTTATCGTTTATAGAGTAACAAAAAAATTTTTGCGCAGAAATTTCATCCCCTTTCACAAGCGCAAAAATCACAACATATCAGGCTTTATATAAGACAAAGATGAATACTAGCGGATTTGCTATGTAAATAAGGAGGAATGTGGCTGGTAACCGTATCCATGGAGCAAATTTTACAAACTTACGGAAAAGATCGTAGTATATTGGCTACGTTGAGGAGTACTTTGAGTGCTCTGGTCAGCTTAACACCATGCAGCCGATACCAATCCCGGACAAGCAACGCGGTGAATAGTGCCACTATACCAACAACAAACTGCGCGGCATTCGATTTTCGCACAGCACTCGCCATACAACTTAAGAATACGCTGCAAATATTCAGCAGTTTAGACTGCTACAAGAAAACAACTGTCCGCATTGAGACTAAACATTGCATCCAAACAATATCCATATGGAAAAAAATTTCTCGGAACGCATTAATAAATCAAAGTCCTTGCAAAATTTCAGCTTCACAGCTTGTCCGCTGCTCGAAATCGCAACTTCCCCACAAATATCATTGATGTGTTCTAAGGCACGGCGCAAGTGCAGTCGAAACTCTATTTGGGTATACGAATCCCAAAATGAACGATAAATATTCTGTCGAAATTACAGCTGTAGTGAAAATTTGAACGTACTTGCTCAGCAAATGAGAAGTGAAAATATTTTCAAATTTGTTCAAATCCAGAACTAATCTGCTCTGACCCAAACTGATCCTCTTGAATTATTCTAAAGAAGCGACATCTCTCACAACACTAGCTTCAAGAAACTCGTCTTTTTCGGATCCCCTCAACTGTTTTCGAGTTTTTCGGATTCCCCTTCCGTAGACCATAAACTTGGAAAACTCGTGAGCATGACCGCTTTAAAACATTTGGAATTCGTAGATCTGAACATATCTCTTTTCAAAATTCACGCCCCGCATTTCAGAGTATAAAATAGGGCGAAATATACTAAGAATACCAAGACCGCTCGGAGAGCTTATGAGTATCCCATGTTAATGATATTTCTGATACTCCTGATAATACTGATATTACTGACATACTCCCATATATCGGGCACAAATATAAGTACGAAAAACGAAATTCAGCAAAATCAGCTCGATTTGTAGCTGATCTGTAATATTATCGCTTACCAAATGAATCCGAAAGTGATAAGTACAGCCAGTGTTGTCATTAAGCGATTCTGTACTACCTTCTTATCACTGAAATGAGTCTCATCAGTTACCATGCACATACAAACATACACACATTTACCACTTTTAAAAGAAAACCTGGATAAAAGGATATTAGATCAGAAAGCCAATATCATCATTTTGGATTATGAAAATCAAATAGCCTTTCTGAGCTGTGGTGGGCACTGGTCGAAGACTTTGTAAGATTATCCCAAACTGCATTTTTTATGTCCCAAATTTTCGAGTTTTGAGGGATCTACAGTCAGCAAGCATATATATAAAATGAAGAAACAGTTAGACTAACTATTGCGATAAATTGCTTTGTGTTGTCGACGACCACGATCGAGTACGCAAGTCCGGTTCCGAAGGCTGCTCTTCCAGCATCGCCAACTCGGCAAGCGTTAAATTCAGCTTTACGCGCCCGCTAAATTTTCCGCCCAACACTTATGCACTATTTGATTTAAAACTCGTAAAAACTGACCGAAAATTTTTTTTGTTTATATAATTACCCACAAAAAATATTCACATTAAATGATATAAAATTAAACCAAAAAAGTTTATATATTATAAAAATTAAAGGCAAACAAAAAATAAAACGACCGGCGTGTGGTTGCTGTTGGCAAATGTGTGTGGTATCATTCCGATATACCAAGAGCCGTGATCATGGGTAGGCTTCCTTCTTTGCTTGTCCCGTTATTATTACCAGTTTTAATTATTATTTTTATTGCTGCTGGCAGGCGTGGTGTAGTGAGAAGTAGCGCTGCTGTTACGCAGATTATGCGTTCGAACTCCGTAACAAATTCTTTTACGACTCGTTCATCCGTTTTGATGGTAAATTGGTACTGGCATATGCCAGGAAGTTAAATTCATCATCAGCTTGCTTGTAAGCAACTCTCGGAGTCATAGCAAATGCCAATAGCAACCACACGCTGGTCAAGCTGCCATCAGTGACTTTGACCAACGTGTGGTCGCTATTGGCATTTGCTACTACTCGGACTAATTCCTGAAGACTTGTAACAGTTTGTGGGGTAATCTGGTACCCCAAGCTTCCGCTCGTTAATATTTTTATGTAAATGCTAACAAATCACATACACACACACACACACATACACACACAGACACACACACACAGATAAACCGTGCCTGCGATTTTGATCAACAGAATTTGGATGAAAAATTTTCTGAAGCAGCGACCTGTCTGGGAATTCATACTCAGGAATGTCTTTTTCATCTTTCACATGTTCCGTTGCAATTGCCAGACCAACCACTCCTCCTCGCTTCATCGTAAGAAACAATGAGAAATATACATTGTTTCTTGTTCTTTTATTCTTAAAATGCAGTCATTATTATGCGTTTTTGCACATTTATGCAAATGCAAAAAATGAAGACTTGTGGGGAGTGTGTGTATGTATGTGTATGTGTGCGTGTATATGAGTGTGTGAGTGTGTGTGTACCTCGATTTCTATTTGCTTTTGCTTTTTTTGCGCTTTTATTCATAGATTCCGATTCTCCGAATTCGCTTTTTTCCCGCCTTAGCTCAAGTTTGCTTTAATTTACTTTTCTTTGTAGTGCTGTATCGTCTCTTCCTCTTTACTGCTGTCTCCAGGTTTTGCTTCGAACTCCTAACTAGTACCTTTGTTCCCCTCCTCTGTTCTGTCCCCAGTTTCTGCCTTCAGACCGGCATCTGGGCAACCACTAAGCACCACTCCATCCATGTCTTACCCCTTACTCAGCACACCCTCCCCCTCCCTCCCTCCTCCCCCCCACTCCTAACAACACCGTCCATCCAGTGAGCGCTAGGTAATACTATCTAGCGTTTCGGGTAACACTACCCGACAATCGCTGGCAATGTGCCAAGCAGTGTTGGCAATTGGCGTCACGAAATAGCGTTAGCAGAGAAGCTAGAGCACCCCAGAACGGCGACTGAGCCGAGCTGGGCCGAGGTTTAGTGGCTGTCATGTGTTTGTGCTGCTGTAGTGGCGCCGATCGGATGCTCGAGTCCTGAAACGATCGAAGTGGTGAGTTCAAAAATTCAAATAATTCACTGCGGTTGAGGGGCAGTTGATCCCCCTCTCCGGGTATTTTCATCATCGCGGGTATGCCTCTATGTTCCCCCTTCGCCCCGTGGCTTCCCCGCACCGCGGTACCCTCGGTTCCTTGATTTTCCGGCCAGGAAAATCCTCTTTTTTTTGGAATTTTTCCCATCGTTCAATGTGATACGTGTGGTCGGGGTATTTGTCAAAGTTCGCGCTGTTGGGGGATGCTTTTGGACCGCGCGGGGCGCTACTAGTGGGGCATTGACTCGTCGAATTTGTTTGGTACCGCGGTGTACTGCTGCCCAGCGAGAGGGTGTTTGAATTGGCGGTCATATTTGGGACCTGAATTTTTTGAAAATTCAAAATTTCCCTCAATGGAATAGCCCGAACTGAGGGATTTGGGAAACCTCGGTTGTCACTAAAGTGCGACCTCACGTCTCCCCACGGAGCAGGGGCTTTCCCAGACAGCCAACTGTACAGCTTTCATTTTCTCGAAAAGCGAGCATTTACCGATAAAACGACCGGGCTTCATGTAAGCCCAGGCTGAAATGCACCAGAACCCCACGGAACAAGGGCTTTCCCATACAGCCAACTGTACACTTTTCATTTTCTCGAAAAGCAAGCATTTACCGGAAAAACGACCGGGCTTCATGTAAGCCCAGGCTGGAATGCACCAGACTGGCGCACAAATCCCTCCCATCTTCCGGATTGTTTCCGCGTCGTGGTAAGGATGTAGGGACCCTCTTCGTCTCGCAGATTGCAACCACACGGCAGTCGATGGATACTAAGGTGCTTCTACAGCTTAAATTATGACTTAGGTGCCCTCGCACCTCAAACTACGACCTCACGTCCCACGCTCAACGGGCTGCAACCACACGTCATATTTTGGGCGTAGTAGATAGCCTTCTGTGTACCGAACTACGTTTACCTATGTTACATTCATCGTCTTTCATCCCTACCCCGCTTGCCCTTCCCCTCCCCTTTCCTCCCCTCCAGCCCTTCCCTCGTAGCTGAGGCACGCGCACCCTTCCAGTCTTACCTTTATGTTTTTGCGCTGTCTTCAACAGTACATGTGGAAATATGCCCCTCCCCCTTCTCTCTTCTAAGGGACTTGACACGTTTTGGCAATGAATGTTGACAACCGGAAACAAATATCCTTAAGGAAGTTTTTCTGGATTTTTGTGCAGTTGTTAATTTATACAAAGAATCTATCAGCCTCAGTGATCGATAAATGCCGTGATTTTAATGGCTAACAGCATTTTTGCTTCTTTTTTTTTCAGGTTGCTCAAATAAACATCAGTGATCAAAAATCTTGGTGCGATATCAACTCGATTTGCTGCATTGTTGCAAAAGAAACAAATGACAGATATAGGTAAGGGATGAAGGCGATCAACCCCCTTCTCCTTACCCGATCTCACCTACGCATTGAAATGCTATAACACATTGGTCAGGTGTTGCAAAAGAAACAAGGTGCTAACAGCAAGGAAACGAAGCTGCCGGCTAAACTCCTTCGCCTTGCCCAGTTGCCCTTCAATTCCATGTGATATGCAAATGTCCCATCTCCTGACTCAAGTTCGTCCCCTCCGTGACATGTGTAATGATGCCGGATCCCCCCGGCTAAGTCTCGATTGGTTTTTGTTTCTGGATAAATTTTTTGTTTTTTTTTTAAATAAACTGTTTATTGGTTTGGGTGAGTACCCCCCTCTCCCCTCCCACAGCCGCACAGGAGCACCCCCTACAGCCGCCCAGGGCCTCCACTCCTCCGTTCGTTACAAAGGCAAATTTACCGGAATTACACCTGGCGCACTTGGGATTCTCTCATCGATCCTGGTACTTGGAGCTCCTCCATTGTTTCCCGCATTTATACAGTTCCATACTAACAAGTTCAAGTTCCACTAAGCACTGGAATCCATAATTCCCCTAAGGCCGATCGTTCTTCTGCTTTATATAAAGTTCCGATCACTTTTTCAGTGACTTCTGAATTCTTTCGGACACGTAGCATAGGCGGATCCAAGGGGAGGGGAGGAGGGAGGGGCGCAAGAAGGAAAGGGAGACAAAAGGTGCTGCAAAAGCCCGGGTCCATTCATAAATAAAACTGAAGTAACTCTAAGTAGCAGTGTTATCACAACTCTATTCCTAATTTTTGCATAGTTCTAGGCTAGGATGGGAGTATCCTCCTCCCCGCTCTCCCCGCTTCCGTCGCCCCCTCCCCTTCCCAGGAATCCGTCCTGAATCCGCCTATGATACGTGACATTTATTTCTGTTTGTTAAAATTTTGTACGTAATTTCAGAGGCAGCGAAAATGCCTGACGACAGTGGGCCGGCTGCGGGTTTTCGTCCCCGCAGACCGGTGAAACCACCGCAACGCTACTCTGATTCAGGCGATGAAAGTCCGGAGAGGAAAAGCACTCCAGCGACCGTGAAAATTAAAAGGCAAAATTTTCTATTTACTAAAAAAAATCGTAAGTTTACTATTAAAAAATCGTAGAAAAGATCATGAGTAAAAAATCGTGAGTTTAAAAATCGTAGGTCTGTTAATCAAAAAGGGTGCAACCCCCATGGAGTTCATCGTGACGGCTTGTTGAAGGTTTAGTGTCATTTGTTAAATACTTTCATAGGTATTTTTATCGAAAAGCCAAAAGGGTAGTGATTGAGACTTTTATTTTGTAATATTATAAGATTTTTTTTTGCAGTAATTAATCAAATATTACGAAATTAATGCATTAATTTATAATGAAAATGAATTCTTTGATTTTCAGCAAATTCAATTTTCAAAATTTTGCTTGACCTCATTTTTCTCTGTTTTATGTTTTCCTAGTATTATTTGATTACATTCAATTATATTTTATTAATTATGTTATAAAATAACAAAATATTGAAAAGAAGAAATTAATAAAATTTTAAATACACTGAAAATTACTTGTAATAGGTAAAAAATGTTTCGGTCTCTTAAGTCGTATGCATTTCTTATCAATACCACAGTTGGACCCCTCGTCAGTATTTTATTATTAATTATATTCTGATTTTATTTTATTTTATTTTATTAAGGTATATTTAACTAATTATATTCTAATCTTATTTTGTCTTATTAAAGTATATCTAATTAATTATATCCTAATTTTATTTTATCTGATTAAAATATATTTAATTGTACTTTTACTCATTTTTTTTATAATTATATTTAATGATTATTACTGTATACCTCCTGTCCTACATATCATATCACAATAGTCGTACTGATGAAGTCCAGTTGTGGTAATTTGAAGAAATTTGTACGACTGTCATTTTCATTGCATTAATTCATTCATCAAGTACAGTCTTTGCCAAAAACTGGTGTAACCCTACAGTTCAATTTCCCTCATCTCACTAATCCTTAACGCTTCTACCTACTTCCCTCCACTCACTAATTTCTAACAGTTCCACCAAATTCCAAGCAATCTTCCGCTGCTACAGTCAAGGACCACGTGAGAAATTCACATTGGAGCTGCTTCCGAATTTTCTGTCTTTCGTGCAGAGTAAATATAGAGGTGTGAATTTTGACCTTTGATTCTGATAATCAAAAAACTATTCTTTTTTTTGGTAATTTATTTTTTTTTTTTTGTTTTTTCTCAGTCGATGAATCTTAGTTCTTCAATCATTTTTGGTTAATTTTCGATGCATTCTTCTTGTTAGTATATTTATTTGGTACTTTTTTTCAGTGCTACTCAAGTACTGTCACGTTCTGCTGCCACTGCTGCATCAGTGAAGCGTAAAGTGAAGACAAAAAACAAAACAGAAAACAATACGGAAAGTGTTGCCTCAAGTTCCTCCACTTCAAAAGTAAGCATTTATTCAAAAAGTGTATTTATGGGGGTTTTTAAGGCGCACATGTGGTACTAAAGGCGGTTCCGGTAGAAAGAACTTTAGATTTTTTTATAAAAATTTTTAAATTTCGTTAAAATTACTTGTTTTCGTTATAAACTAACGATTCTAGAGGAACTGTAAAAAAATTGAAACTAAAAAAACATGAAATTTTTGATCGGAGCTTTTAATTTATGACTTGATTTTCCAGCTGTGCATTTCCATTCGCTTTGACCCATTGAAGCTTTGGTCACTGGTCAGCCTTTTGACCAGCCCGACTTTTTCCATTTTTTTCTCAACCTGGGCTTATTAACCAAAACGCAAAAATCACTTATTTATTGTTTTCAGAGTGTAAAAAAAGTACCGGTTGTCAATGGTACAAAGCGCGAAAGCGTGCCTGTGGAAACGCCTGTTCGCATGGCACGTCCCAAGCAATCTGACATATCAATGTCAATGAGAGAGAATTTGCGGCGTTTAAAGAATGTCCTGAAATTGCCAAAGGTTAGCAGGCCTTTTTATGCTTGTTTTAAATAATCTGGCAGCAATCTCGGCTCTCTAGCGTGCGTCGATACCGTTTTTCCATGAAGTCGAATGAAAAAGTTGTAGAATCTATTTTGAGGGCTCCTGTAACTCCTGTCAATATTATACGGCAAATTTAGCTAATAAATTTCACACTATTTCAAGTAAAGTTACTGAGGATACTGTAATCATTTACTGTAACCCGATATACTGTATATTAAATTTGTCGTACTGTAGCCCCGGTATACTGTATAGTAAATTTGGTATACTGTATCTTTATATACGAAATTCTTTACTGTAACTTGGTAACAACATTAGGCTCGACGATGGGTGTACTGCGAGTTTTTCTATTCGGGCGTCGACCAGCAACTGTTCATGGGTGACAATGAATTTTTGCATATGCTTCGAGATGCATTGCCGAATTTGCGCACCTACAAACTTTGCCGTCCGGAGTGGCGAGCTGTGCGTCGGATGATCGGAAAACCACGGCGATGCTCGGAGGCATTCTTAACTGAGGAACGTGAAGTACTTCAGGCAAAAAGGTATGCTAATTTGCATAGTAAATTTGTTGTATCCCCAGTGCCAAATATCCTCGTACCATGCATACCTGGAGGGCTGAATTTGAAATCTTTAGCTAGCACATGAACTGGGAATATCCCTACAAAGTTTCAGCCTCATAGCTCGTGTGGATTCCGAGATCGCTTCCCCCGTGCCAAATTTGAGTTTTCCTTGTCAAAGAAGCGCTTTTCCTTCGTATGAATCCGTTTAAATGTTATTTTTTAGCAGGAAATTATAATTGCTTTAGTAATAAATTATTGAATTAGATTTAAAGTTATTTGGCAAAAATTTTTGCACTGCTTACATGGCGCAGTGGCAAGTAATCTGGACGTCGAGAGCGGAGAGAGGGGCAGAGGAAGGTAGGGGTTCGATATCGGAAATAGGAATTGGCCAACGCACCAATTGCTGACTCAGAGATGCGTTTTTTGCACAGTTCCCAGCAGGTTTTTTGCCGCTGACGCCGGCAGATGCTTCTAGCTAAAAGAATTGGGACTGGCCACCATAACTATGAGAAAACATTCCCTTAAAATTTCAGCTTTCTAGCTTCTCTGATCCCGGAGTTAGCGAATTAGTACTCGCCAAAAATTTTCATGGGCTCGTACATGGAAACCACGCACGCCTGGGGGCTGGATTTGAACTCATAAAATCCTACGTGGGCGCGGAATATCCGCTTAAAATTTCAGTTTTCTAGCTTTTCTGGTTCTCGAATTAGCAGCTTACCCGCCAAAAAACATTTAACAGCTTATTCATTGAATCTTTTTCTGGGCATTTCAGGACGAAGATTCGTCACATCTATGATGGTAGCCTAATGAATTTACCAAGTGGTTTGGATTTACCGGTACGTCTACCACGACCCCTGGTTGTTGGCGCAAAAATCTATGCACGAGTACGCAGTCCCAAAGATGGTATCTATGCTGGCACAATTGATGCCATTTTGCCGGATTCCTATCGTGTGGTTTTTGATAAAGAAGAAATGATACCACCAATGATAATCAAAGATTCGGAGGTTATGTCCTATCAACCGGTAAGAATAGCTTTGAAGCTTTTTTTCGCCTCCATTTTCGTGTGAATTTGCAATAATTGTTTAATTTAGTGACTTTAAATAGAAAGTTATACTACGGAATGAAATAAAGAGAAAAAAAAGGAAAAAGAAGGTAAGAAAGGAAAATTGGAAAATTTTTGAGAATATTACAATAATAAGAGGTCCATTAAGTCGTATACATTTCTTACCATTACCACAACTGAACCTCGTCAGTATGACGATTATGGTAATTGTAGTTAGTGAAAGTTAGGGTTAAATTAATTGTGTGATGCATATTAGTAGTGAACAGATTGTTATGGAAGATGAGTAATAATATATTAAAATTGTTTAATTGGTTAATATGACGGAAAGGTTACTGAGATATAGCCATGCATAAAATTGCTGAGAACATTCTTCCTTCCGCAGGTGAACATCTCGCGGCCTTTTAAGGGCCTGCGGACCTCAGATTGAGAAGAACTGGTTTAGCCGCTAAAAAGAATTTAAAAAAAAAATTGCAGGTTGAATTACTGTCGGTGCATTACTATTTGGAACAGAATCGTGCAGCAATTCCAAATTCACTGATGCGATTTGGCCATATTGGTTTTCAGCACAAAATCAATGATTCGACAACTTCCCGAATTTATGCAACACCAGATTCCACTCGAAAAACTGCAGGAAGTAATTTTTTTTTTTATTTTTAGTAAATTTTATCAGGCGATGCTTTCGTACAGTGACTGAAAAGTGCAGCATACGATGGTTTTATGGTTCATGTACGATTATTTTATGGTTCTCGGGTGATTTGTTCTGTTAACTCAATGCTTTTTCTCTCCAATGACTTTGAGATGACCATTTATTACAATCTTCATACTGACGAGGTCCAGTTGTGGTAATGGTAAGAAATGTATACCACTTAATGGACCGAAACATTTCTTACAATTATAATAATTTTATTAAAATAATTTTACCACTATTTTTACTAATTTCTTAATATTATTTCCTTTTTCATTTTTTTCCTACTTCAAAATACTTCAGTATTATTAGAGATATTGTAATGTATGTTAAGCATTAGCACCTCGTCTCAAAAAGTGCTTCTTCTAGAACACTGTGAGGTACAGTACGAGCTAAGAGTATTTATGGCCCTGGACAGTATTTTTAATGAGATTGTATATATATATGAAGCTTACAGCAAAGTTGTTTTCCCCGTGATCAATTCAATATTTTCAGTGCGCGATGAAAAAGTTGGCAATTTTCCGGTGCGAATGCTTGTAATCCTTGTGAAACTGAACAAATTACTTGATGTGAAACGAATGTATGTGCGACAATTGACCGATTTAAATGCAGAAGCGGAAAGAATGAATTTACTCACCGAAGCATACCCCACTGTTTTCCAGGTTTCTGTGTGTCTAAAAAATCTTTAGCAAATTATTCTAATTTTTGGGTTTCTCATTTATTAAAACGCCGCGGAACTCAGATTTTTTATGTGCTTTTACTGTGCACTACCTAGAGCGCCGCAACAGGCAGCAAAAACGCATATTGTGATGATCGTGCCTGTGGGTGTACGTGTGTATTTGTGTGTGTGTGTGTGTGCGTGTGTGCACGTGTGTGTATGTGTGTGTGTGCATGTGTGTGTGTATATGTGTTTTCGTCTGTCGGCAATTATCAAAATTCAAACGAATTGGTGATTGCTAAAACTCGGCTCTGCCGGCACCATACACGATTTGCGAAAATTTTTTCTCAGTTGTGTCGGGTAAGGTTGCCCCAAGATGAATGACGGGAGTTTAAATGTTTCGAGTGACGGAAGGGGG